ATCGTAGTCAGCTGAAAAGTAGAATGAATATCCAAACAGGGTTGCCACTTTGGTAAATTGTTACCAAAATTGGTAGAAAAAATTTAGGTTGGTAAAAAGGTAAGTTTTTTCTCATTTTGGTAGATTTTTGTTGAACTTTTCGTTCCCGATTTATTTTTCGTAGTTATGTTTACATTATAAATTTCTTTGCACACTTTTTATATACTTACATACGTATAAATGTATATCGATATAAGGCGAACATATCGAGCTCCATTCAAAAGTCATTCTACTGGAATCCCGAGGAGCTTTTGATTGCCTAAATATTTTAAATGATTATTTAAATAAAAAGAAAAAATTGACTGGTATGTAAATACGCACTATGATTGTTCGCAAAAAAATTAAATCAACGCCATTTTTTATGAATGGAAATTGTTAAATAAAAAAGGCCACAAAAGACTGGCGGCAAAAAATTAAAAAAGTATACTCAAATATTATTTGCTATAAAACTCCATACCTTAAATTGTTCTAAAAATTCAGAGTAAATAATTCTAAATTAAGACGAAAATTTTTTCAATTTTTCTAAATGTTGTATTTACTCCTTGATTTGTATGGATTTAGTTAAAGCAACAAGACATTTTTACTTGAAAAACATTGTGAATATTAAAATAAAATCACTGTGTTTATCGTTGTTGCCTTCAGTTTCATCACTTTCGCTCTTGGTTGAAGGAAACTCAGAATATGACATTAATATGATCTCAAATACCATATAATTAGTTGAATAAAAAGTTCCTTAAAAACAATTTTAATTCTTATTGAAATAATAAAAAAAAATAAATAAACTATAGTCTTAATTAAAATAACTAAAAAATATAACAACACTATAGTTTTTATCAAATAACTATAAAAACGTTATTGGTAGATATTTTCCAGATTTGGTAAATTTTTTTCGAGTGGATGGTAAGTATTTTTTTTCGTCAGTGGCAACCCTGTATCCAAAAATTCTTTTTCTACCGTTACTTTCTGTGGAAATTTGTCTCGCATAAAAATCATGTTTTGCTTTGTTTAATTTGCAGCGAAGTAGAAGTCAGTCAATGAAGTGAAGTACGAGAGTGAGGAAGTACAATTTTAAGCTTAATTAAATATGCATGTATGTATGTACATTCCGATTTTCAAGTAAAATCTAAATACCTAAATACATACATATGCATGTATGTATAAAAACTGACGTATAAAAATTTTAATTAATTTGAATCTTTTAAGACAATTTGTATCTTCTGTTTTTAATTTAATATAAATAAGTATGCACTTATCCAGGCATTTTACATTAGTTTCTCTCTAAGAGATTCTTTGTTCGCTTCTCTGGATTCTCTTTATCCATGCGTTCTCCCTTCGTTCGAAGGTAATGCTGCGGGTAAGGGCTTACGGCTAATGACATGCCCATGGTAAAATAATGCCTTCTTGAAGCGAAAGGATAAGCGATTCCCATCGCCTAGCTCGTTTCCACTTTCGTTTCTGTGGTAATCGTTTTTGTTTGCTGGGAATGGCGCTAGCCAAAGCAGAGAAAAATACAAAAAAAAACTTTCCTGTAAAATTTGGTTTTTGTAACACACCATACATACATAATTTTGCACAAAGGGGTCGATATCTACCACATCTTATTCAAATCTATTACATTTGTTTGCCGATTCTACCACACCAACATAAAAACGGGTTTGCACTAGGAATGTTAGGCCCCGGATTCCGGGATCCCGGCCTTTTTAAGGTCCCAAAAATCCCGGGATTCTTGGCAAATAATCCCGGGACTTTTAATTTGCAATGATGGAGATAATAGAAACTCCTTTTCTTGACCAGTATTAGCTTTTTTATTTAATAATAAATATCTTTTTATAAACGTTTAGCTCATTATACATATATCACCGCGAGACAGTTAATTTTGTACACAAATATCAATATATTCGCGAAACCAAGGGCCAAATATAGTAAAATTGCGTTTTTAGTTTTTCACTCTGACGGCAGTAATTCAAAAATGATTTAAAAAAATTCAGAGAAATTTGCTTAGAGAAGATATATGGGTATCAAAGAGGAAATCCCGTGATCGGAAAAAGCTGAAGAATTAACATCCCTTGTTTGCACACTGCCTACAAATCAAAACAAAACAAAAGAAAAGCAAAGTCGCCCGGGTGCTAAACGTCAAACAAAAATAAATTTTTAATTTGTTTGCGCGCGTGGGCTTTTATGCGAATTGAATTTTAATAATTTAAATTTAAAACGGCAATATTTATAACTGCGGATCTCAAAACTTAAAGCAGACAACTAAAAAGTGCAAATTGGCCGTGCACAAATAGTGGAAATAAAAAAGAAAAAAGCAAAAAACAGAGCGGTAAGTTAATATCTGTCCCTATAAAGTTTTCATTGTCGTTTTAATTAAATAGTTAAAATTATATTACCTTGATAATGAATAAAAAGACCTTTTCTAATTTGAGGAGCCACGAAAAAAAAAGAGTGGCATTCAAGTGTTACAAAATTCGCAAGGACATACGGTATCAGTGAAGATGTGGTATGTGACAGTGCGGCTGTGCAAGAAGGCAGCAGTTTGGACTGCTCTGATGAGTCGGTGCTCATCAGTGATGAAAGCATGGAGGTCCTGGAAAATGATGGTGCATTAGAATTAGATAATTCTAGTAAAGCTCTTCATTTGAAGTTGTGGGCAATAAGAAACAGGACGTCCCACAACTCTGTCTCTGATCTGCTTCAAAGTCTTAGAAAAATTGGAGTGGAAGATTTGCTATTGTCGACAAAAAAAAAAGTGGTGGTCAGCACCATTTTGAAACCAGATATTTCCCTTTTCTCCATGATAAACATGAAATTAATCTCGACATAGGAATTGACGGCCTTAAATTGTTCAAAAGCTCAAAAAAAAGTGTTATGGCCGATCCTTGGAGCAATCGTTGGCTTTCCAAATAAACATCCGTTTACAATTGCTTTCTTTGCTGGAACGGAAAAACCGTGGAATGTCAGCGATTTCTTAAAGGAATTATGTGATGAAGTAATTTTTTGTTTTAAAGCAATGGACTTCAAGTAGATTCATCACCAATTAAGAAAAAATTGATATTCGTTTATTTTGTTGTGATTCACCTGCACGTGCATTTATTATCACTTAACGGAAAAAATAGCTGCTCAAAATGTAATCAAGTTGGAAGCTATGTTAATAGAAGAGTTTGCTTTTCGAAAACAATTCATGATTTTCGACCAGATTTAAGTTTTAAATTTAGAGCTGAACCAGTACATCATAATTTTGCATTTAGAACTTGTGAAAGTGTTTTAGAGAAAGCCGATTTCAAAATGGTGTCGCAGTTTCCCTTGGATTCTATGCATCGTGTCGACCTCGGTGTGTCCAAAAAATTCCTCCACTTGCTGATGAAAAATGAATGCTAAAATTAATTTTTTTTCGAAATATGTTCCCTCCGAATTCGGTCGAGTGTGCAGGGATTTAAATGAAATTAGCAATTGGAAGTCAACCAAATTTAGGCAATTTTTATTATACTATGGAGATTTGTGTTAAAAGTGCAGTTAGAAGCGACCTTTACTTTCATTTTCTTCTATATATATACATATATATCTGTGTTCGTATGGAAAAGTCGCTTATGTCGAAAGGCTGGCTTTAGTATAATGCGGCATTCCCTTTATTCTTTAAACGACAATAAATTTTTTGCAGAGACTTAATAAGAATATTGACTTGCTAGTATAGGAACTATTTATTGCACGTTTATTTGCCAAAAGTTGTTCAACGGCTCAGCGCCAGTGAGCTATTCGCAATCCTATGCTGCGAATGCCGATTTATACTAAAGCCTGCCTTTCGACATAAGCTACTTTTCCATACGAACACAGATATGTATATACATTTTTTTTCTATATATATATATTTTTAAGGTTAAAGGCTGTTAGGAACTCTCAAGAAAAACGAACAATTCATATAAAATGGCGCACAAGAAATGGAAAAGAAATTTTCTTCTATCAAAAGTCTGTAGCTTCCAAGAAAAAACATTTTCGTTTATTTAATTCTTTAAGAAAGTTTACAGCAAATGCAAAGTCCAACAGAAATAATGAGAAAAATTTCTTGTGATTTTTCTCGAGAGCTGGATTCTAAACTTAAATAAAATATTTTAATGTTGGCATCAAATGAGAGACGTTTAACGAAAGCTGTATCTATTTTGAAAATATTTTTGAAGAGGGTTAACACCAGTTAGGAATTTAATTAATAAGCTAAATGAAATCCTACTGATAATATAAATATATATAAGTATGCTTAAAAAGTTAAATTCTACTTTAAACTATAAGTTCCTAGAAATTTTACAAGAAAAATGGCAAACGAATGAGAAGTGTTTAGATGTGTTTATCTCGGTAACCGCTTCACCAATTTCACCTAAATTGGGCACAGTTATGGGTTATGGTAAAAAATACCAAACGGCTGAAAATGTTTGAAATCGGAAATTATCACGGCCACATCCCATGTAACGGTAATTTAAAGAAATAGGAAATCTTTGATAAATCAGTAAATACTGAAGCGAATTTATTCAAAATTAATGTCTGCAGTAGTGCTTTAGCAGGAAATACGTCTATAACAAATTTTTGGCAAATGGGCGGGGCACCGCCCACTTATGATTACATATGTGTATCTCGGTAACCGTTCCATCAATTTGTACCAAATTCGATCTAATTATTGTACTTGCCATACAAAAGCAAGACGTTGAAAATTTTTGAAATCGGACTAAAATAACGCCCACTTTTCACATAACGGTAAATTTCACAAATGCTGAAACTTCGATATTTCGAAATTTAAGGACTCATATTTACTCAAAGTTGATACCAACAATGCCTTAAAAGAAATAAGATTATTATGGAATTTGGGAAAATCGGCGTGTTACCACACTCATGACTATATAAGTTTATATCATTAATTCTATATGAACATATGTCCATGCAACGGTTGTTTTCGGAAAGGTGAAAAAACTATATTTAATACATGCACCGGGTATTTAATGTTCGGCTTCGCCCGAACTTAGACTTTTTTACTTGTTGAATTCATACTGAAAGTTCCAAATCAGTTGAAATTCGACACATTGACCCTGTTCTGGAACCTCGAGACAATAATCTAGATATCTTGTTGACTAATCTAAAACTGCCTCTGATGAGCAATAGAGCGATATTGCCTTGAATTTTTACCAAATGTCGTTAACATTAACGCCCAAACGATAGGTTTTTATTTAATTTAATTGTAGATAAACTATTTATATTTAATTTCTAATTTTCCCACTCGACAATTTTGATACTAAAAGCTTAGAGAATACATGGATTATCTCCTAAGGTAAGGTGCTTACTTATTTGCCTACTGGGTTAGTGATTTTTCTTTGATACATACATACATAAGTATGTTACTTCATTTTTTTAACATAACATGATAAGGAAATTATGTACTTCCCTTCAAGAAAACTTTATTTAACGCGGACACATAGCATGCCTACCGCCATCGATGGGCAATATTGCACCCGTGATGAAGCTGGCAGCATCACTGGCCAGAAAAGCAATCGCTTCAGCCACCTCCATTGGATTACCAACACGTCCTAAAGCATGTGTCTCTTTACCACGTTCCAGATGCTTGGCATATGCCTCATCAGACATGCCGCCACGACGGTGAATATTGGTCACAATCAAACCGGGATTTACAGAGTTCACTCGTACCTCTTTTGGTGCCAAATCCAAAGCTATACACTTGGTAAATTGGTCCAATCCAGCTTTAGAGACGCAATAGCTTGAGCTATTCGGAAATGAGCGTGTGCCAGCCAAGCTGGATACGTTTACAATGTTGCCTTTGCTTTTCACCAAATGTGGGGCGGCGAGTTTAGTTAACACGAAAACCGCACGTAAATTTGTGTTGAGTATCTGATCGAATTGCTCCACATCGATATCAAGTATATTTCCACCAGCTAGTATACCAGCATTATTAACTAAAACATCCAATTTACCGAATTTCTCAATGACTGTATTAATAACGCGCTCTGCGTCCAACGTTATGTCTGCCTTAATAATTAGCAATTCAGCACTGCTGTTCGCTGCCTTGCATGCCGCCTCAGTTGCTTTTAGATTTACCTCATTACGTCCAACCAGCACCACTTTGGCGTCTTGTTTTGCAAACAGCTCGGCGGTAGCAGCACCAATACCGGAACTAGCGCCGGTTACAATTACAACCTTGCCGGAGAAAGTCATACTTCACTACTAAATAGATATTTATTAATTATCACAAGAAAAATAACTTCATACATCGGTTTCTTATTTAATACATACCTCTTTTGTTACTTAGTGCCTTACTAAGGGAGAACCAGTTAATGATAAGAGTTTGTATTACTTATTCACCTCGCCGAATGATCAAATAGCAGCGCTACCAGATAATTGAAACTTCCTGCTAAATAGTTTTAAGTAGGCACTTTAGAATTATTAAAATTGCATATTAAATGTTTTGTAAACTGATATGGGATCATAGTTTGAAACATACTGAATTCAATTGAATTATTTGATCCGAGCCAAACACAAGATTTTTTAAATTAATAAAAATCTATGCATAAATATATGTATTTGTGCAAATTTATACATATTTATGTACATACATATTTATGTACATACATATGTATGTGTACATACACTGTACTTCAAACACATTTTTCATGGTGTATTAGTTCTATATGCGATTTTTGATATTATGGGCTAAAAATTACATTTTTCTGGATAAAATTAAACCAAATTTTGAATTGATAAGCTTTTGAAGAATGTGCGCGATATGCATGTATGTATGCACAATACCAAAAAAAAAATAAGTACCTTTTCAACTGCATATTTGTTTTATTAATTATGCATGCTCGGGATGGTTCATAAATATACTAAAACTTTCTCCGATAAACTTAGCTAGGAGTTAAATAACAAAATCAATTGGATATTCACCTGCTATAACTATTAGGTACAAACAAAGGAGGTCCGATGGTGAATAACCCGAAAATCCTTTGAGTTACAATTGGCCGGCCGGGTCTTAATTATGCAGCGCCCGTGTGGTCGCCGGGGACTAGCAGGACGCTGTGGACGAAACAACAGAATTGCCACAAGACGGCACTCTGGGCCGCGACTGGATGCATTCTGATGTCGCCTCAACACCTGTTTGACAAGGCGCAGATGCTCCCCATTGAGAAGCATAACACATTGCTCTGCAAGCAGTTCCTAATAAGGTGCCACAGCCGCGGGCAGCCGAACAAACAACTTTTTGCAGAAGAGCCTTCGCGAACGCATACCGAGAGGCCTTAAACGGCATTCACAGGGAGTCGGTCTCCAGTTACATAGACCCCCTCACCTGTGAATGCTGTTTTGGACACACAACCACCCGACGTGGACGGGGCGGAACTTTGTCTTACTCGGGAGACTCGCACCACGATAGCCCAACTTTGCTCTAGATATTGCAGCAGTGAATAAAGATGTGCCCAAGAAGTGCCTGGCGTGCGGAGAGTCGCCACATAACTTACGGCACCTCTTCGCATGTCCCCAAAACCCCACCCAGCTAACCCCCTTTCTCTATGGATAGACAGTTGCGCATTCCCTGGGCCTCCCTTTAGCGGAGCCAGACTAACGTTAAAGTTATATGCGATCGATTGCGAACTAGTTAAAAAAAAAGCTGTTTATTTCTTTTAAAGCTAATTATGTACATACATGCTTTCATGCTTGTTGCTTTGAAAGTTTAATTTTCTAATGCCAAACAAATAAGTGCACCTTTATGTCTCAAGCACAAACTTTATAACTTTTCTGCATTCCACTAACTGTACTAATGTAAAATTTAAAGCATTGGAACCTTAAAATATTGACAAAATTTACTTACATATGTATAACCAAATTGTAAATTATTGAATTGTTTACTTTTTAGTTTTTGCTTTGCTTTAACTTTCGTTGTCATTTAGCTCTGTTCTATTTATCAGCAGCCGGGCGAACAGCTGATATCTGTACCAGCTTCGAAAGTTGCCATATTTCCTACAATGCTGTAGTTTGCCTTGAGCTGATACACTTTTAAATTAAATTTTCTTAACAATTTTTTAACGAAAAAGTAACAATCAAAAATTTATAAATAAAGCTTTGTACTTTCCAGGCTAGTTTTAATAATTAATTACGGTTTAAATACCATTTACACTTTGTTGTGGCGGAACAGACTGGTAGGCTGATTTTCTGTTCTCATAGCTTCTTTTACTTTCTCTGTTCTCATGCGAACGTTTGACAGATTAAAACGAGTTTCCGGTTTGTTAGTCGTTTCCTGGTTTTCGCGCCTACACTTATAAATAAAACTCCGTTTTGATTTAAAGCTACTCGGAAAAAGAGTTTAATTAAAATGTTAGAGGTTATCCCGAATAGTCGACATTCAATTCAAGCAGTCATCGATTCGCCAACAGTTTGCGAATGTCGAAACGAACGAACTCAATGAGGTACAACCAAACTCGCTATCGTTCATCCTTGCTAGCTAACTTTGTTGTTGCTTTCACATACAAAATTTTTCGTTTAGCGACCGGAACTCAAATATAGCAAGCTGCGAAGTAGCGAGTTAACTGAATTCAGTGAAAACTAGTGAGGGTTGAGGTTGACCCACCAAAAAATAGCATAAGCAGAAATATGTTATTCGCCGGTAGTGCTGCTGCTGCAATGGACGACAAGGCTAATACATTTGTAATAAGGTAATGGTAGTCTATAATAGTTCTTATTACATATAAGGCATTACGTAAGCCCAATTTTGAATGGGCGATGAGGCTTATAATAAGGTAATAATATTCTGTAGGATGCCTTTTTATAAGGACTACTGTAAACCCAATTTCGAATAGGATATAATGTCCTATCATAAGGCCTTATATAAGCCTCATTTTGCACAGCAGGTAATCCTTATGCAAAAGGGCGTCTCTCAGAGAGGGAGAGTTAGCCTTATTCCCAATGACATCCATATGGCAAAATCAGGTATTGAATCATGGGTTGTGCCATAAAACAGACTGCGCGTCATTACTTTGTCTTATTTCAATAAATTTCCATACATTGCCAAAAACCTTCAACCTAATACTTGAAAAGGTAGGGCAGAGACATAAAATATATTCCGCAGTCTCAACTTCGTCAAGGCAGTAAGGGCAAATCATGTATAAGTAGAAATGACCAGTCAACAGTCCCACAAGTTATCTGCAGTCCCATTTGCTCAATGTAAGCAAATACTTAGCAATACGTTCTGCGATTCAGGACAATATGCACATCTGCAGCCATGAAGCCTCCCAGGAATATACTTCGATGGCCGAAGGTGAGATTGCTATAACTGGTTTCGGATCGTGGCTAAGTACGAAATCAATGGCGAACCCTTTTTACTACTTCAATGTAGGTCAAGTTGAACTTAGGAATTCGGGCTAATTACACAATATCGACCTAAACATTTACAGGAGTTTCCTTTGACAGATTGCTCTCATTTTTCATGCACACAAAGAAACATTGGTGGCAACATATGTATAAGGCGATCAACCGACTGGTTCTAAACTAAGCAGCGTCTGTGGGGTCGGCGGGGACTAGGAAGTTAAGCAAGCAGTTCTTGCTCGGATGCTACTACAGCAATAATCTCCACTCAGGAACACATAGGCAAATGGGGATACCAATCCCTTTCGATGATGAAAAGCTCAATCCATTTTCACCAATTTGTTGACGTTGTGATATAGCTCTCTTGATGTGCTGGGTTCTCAAGTGTGCGCAATCTTCTTCTACTTATAGCATTTTCTTCTTCTATGTACATACTTGCTACCACAGCAAAGATCCACCTATAGCCTCAAGGTGTGTGAAACAATTAGTCAGTGGCCCCTAAGAGTCGTTAGAAGAAAAGGTATTTTTTCTCTATTTAAAATTGACAGCAACAACCCTGGTGGTTTCACAGTTAGGAAAGCTGTTCCAGCGTTCATTGGATTTCAGAGTAGTTTGATTTCCATCAAACACTTTAAAGGTAGGCACTGGTATGTCTACCGTGTCGTCATCTTTGCGATTGCCCTCAATATCATGGCCGGCGTCCAAGCACGCCGTCCATTTAAATTCTATGGTGCTGAGCTGCTATCTCGTTTAAAGACCCATATTCTTCAGTAAGGAACTTTGTATATCTGTGAGTCTAGGCCATAGGAAGACTTGTTTCTTTCTGGTAAGCCCTTGAGCTAGACTACACGCTACCTGCCTGTATGACCGACTCTACTTTGTGCCCATGAACACAATGTAAGGACCAAGTGCAGAAGGACCTGTACGCACTTGGGATGAACAACAGACGCAAATCCGAAAAGAAGAGAGGCAAGTGGCAAAGCTTTTTGGTCTCGACGCAAACCGATAAATGATTGTGCTGTATGCGGTAAACATAATCATTAACATTAACATTAACATTTGTTTTTAATTTTATGTATTTACTTTAATGAGCTAAGTCTGTATTAACTGACCCTTTTAGCAGCTTTTATTTTAAATGTTAACATATTCTAGTGAATTTCGTAGGTAATCGAGCTGACAAGAGGTTGTGTGGTGGATTTGAGCACCTAATCTTGTTAAGTGGTGATAAAATCTTGTCTTAATTGTAAAGGTCCATTTTAATGTGAATAATGTAATAAATTTGTAGTTATCCTGCCTAATTAAATGCAATTTTATTAATTTTCACAACAAAAGAAACATTTAATTTCTAATATGTGGAAAAATATATGTATGTATGTATGTATATGTATTTGTATGTATGTAAATCCAAAACCTAGCAGAATTATAAAAGATATAGACGGTTGAGTCTTTTATGTTGTCTTCGGCTTCGGTTTGGGTTGTCTCGGCTGTAAGCGTACACGAAAACCTTCTTCGCGTTTCAATATTATATCGGCTTGCAGTTTAAAATCGGCCTCAGTTAAATCTGAGTAGACACGATAATTTCTAAGAATGGTGGATAAAAGTATTTTTAACTTGAGCATTGCGTATTTCCGGCCTAAGAAAAAAATTAAAAAAAAACAGTTATATTCAATAAAATACTACAACCTTTTGTTTTTGAATCTGTAATAATTTTTCGCTTACCAACACAACTCCGTGGTCCCGCTGAGAACGGCACAAAAGCGTAGTAATGTCTGTTGGCCTGGCGTTCTGGCAAAAAGTTATCGGGATCAAATACATTTGGATTTGCGTAGATTTTCGGATTGCGATGTAGCTTGACAGTGGCTACTGTAACGGTAGCGCCACGCGGTATTACATAAGGACCAGATGCCAATCTTAAGTCTTCCTGCAGCTCACGTGCTATCAATGGCACTGGCGGATACATGCGAAACGTCTCCATCAGACAACGCTCCATATATTTCATTTCTAAAGTGTCCTGAAATGTGGCTGGTCTGTCTGAGGCACCAAATATTTCATCCAATTCGGCTATAACTCGATCTTGAATTTGCTGGTGGATGCCCATCAGTGATAGAAAGAAGGATGAACCGGCCGCGGTGGTGTCATGTCCCTCAAACATAATCGTATCTACTTGTTCTTTGATTTCGGTATCATTTAGTAGAGCGCCATTTTGTGCGCTCTCAAGCAGCAAATCGAGAAAAGCTAAACGTTTCTTCTCGCCCACATCATTCTCTTCGACATCTAGATCATCCTTCAAACCTTCTGACTGTCCAAACGACAAGCCCTCCACGGAAGTTTCTTTTGTAGATTTTTGCTTTCCATTCTCTTTTGCTGCAGCTGCCGCAGCAGTTGAAGGTGTGCCTGGTGGTGTAATTTTTTTGGCAGCCATTTCCTGTTGGGCCAATGAACCACGAGTGCCATTAGCAAAAGCGGCTTTTTTATACTTGATGACTTTGGTTGTAAGGCCGTGAATGATATTCAATAGTTTGCCTTGCTCTTGATAATATCTGGAGAGCGTAAAAATGAATTCATTGCGGAGGAAGAGACTTCGTGAACGTAAATGTAGTATGTCGCACATCTTCATAACGGCCAAGGCGTATTCATAGCCGGATTTGTCTTGAGTCTTTTTGGAAACACCCATGGCTGTCTCTATAATGATTTGTAGAAAAAATTATCTTTAGATTTTAGGTTAACTAAAAAATTGAAGTAATGATTTTTAATATAAAAGGATATTAGGTTAAGTTAAGCTAAAATCGATGGCCCGTACTCTGAAGTAAGCACTCCACACTAAACTTCTCAGGCGCCGATATATAAAATTTAAAGCTGAATAGAGCTTTGATAACCCGAAAAGCGCTGAATGCTGCACGTGGAGTTCCAGCTTAAAGGTTCTGGTAAACGTTTGAAATAATTCTTATAAGAATAGGAATTAACTCTCATTCTCTCCGTCTACCTAGTAATAAGAATGAATATTTACTCCTTTTCATTTTTATTCTCATCGTTTACTAGAGCCTTTGAATTGAGTAGCTCATTATGATACCCACTGACACCAGAGTATGTGATTCTTCTGTTCTTTAAAAACTAAATAAATTTATATGTTTTAAAAAGCGCAAAATATAGTATACATATAATATAACGTTATTTGAAATGCGAAAAGACGTAACAACATCATAACTGAAATGGAAAAAGTCGCGACTAAAATTTTTTATTTTTTTTTCATTAAATGATGTGGGAGTTGTAATTCGATCAAATCTGTCATATCAATCAAAAGCTGAATTTTGGATTTTTTATTAGTTACGACTTTTTGAATTGCAGTGATGATATATGTTACATCTTTTTGCATTCCAGGTGGCGATATACATAGCTACGAAATCAATCAATAGCTTTTTGAAGAACCACCGTCTTTAAGTCCCTTGGTTACATATTCCGTCCACTTACTATGTCTATGTCCTAAGCTAGTTTCTTATTGTGACACTAACTGCCCATCTGTTGTCGTTACGGGCGTTTTTTAGTATTTTTATTGTTAGCTCAGGCCGTGTAGTTGACTTTTTGCACCCGACAGCTTCCTGGAATGTGGTATCGTAGGATCACAGGGATTTAAGAGAAGGCGGGCTTTTAAATTAGTCCGTGATAGTTCAGCGGATAGTTCAACCTGAGACACGCTGCTTTGTCCAGATGGATGCAGATTAAGATTTGTTGTACCATTCGCTTCACCCAGATGAAGCTGAAGGTTGCGCTTTACTCCACTCTACATATTTAAATGAGTTCAGCGACGATCACAAACCTGGACGTGGAGTTGTATAACTATCTATCCGCCGCTTTAGTTTCGAGGCACAGTTCATCCATGCGAATTGACAATTACGGATTTTCCGAATCGTAAGGCACACTGGTAAGGCCCCATAAATTTGCTTAAATAAAGTACTTTGCTTTGTGTTCTCTCAGCTCTGCCTGACAGCTATAAAGCTTCACCGCCATAAGGTGAGCATATAACATAAGACATGCCGTTAGAGTAGTTGTTAGAGAACCCAGGCTCTTTAAATGGTTGGTTTTGTGAAGTTTTGCATACCATTCACTAGGGATGTCAGTGGCAAAAATGATGATTCGATGCATTGTACAATGTACATCGATAATTTGCTATACATCGAAGGGCATGCATGGATCCATTGGTTTGCAAAGGATTTTTGAAATTATATTTCACAACCAAATATGTTATTAGCAAAATGGTACAACATTTTTTACTGCAATTGAGCTACACATATATTTTTCTAACGGACCTTTTTCGAGCCATTTAAATTTTTTAGTCAAAGTGAATTCTCTTTTTTGCACAATCGAAAAACTAAAATGACGGTTCAATGTACTAGAGATATCAGTTTTGAAAAAACATCGACGTTTCGATACATCGATTACTTATACATCGAGTGGAAAATTTTCCATGCATCGATATTTTTGCGACATCCCTAATGTTTACTAGAATTTGTAGAGCTGCTGTACAATTTTTCGGTATAAAAGTTCTTACTTTTATGGCTTTTGTGATAATCAGGGAACGGATTTTTAGGACCTAAAAACCAATAAAAAAGGCAAAATAAAATAACGAAATAGGCTGAAAAAGGCAAAATAAAATAGCAAAAAAAGGCAGGAAAAGGCACTAGGTGTTGCAAAAAGGCAAAAAAAGGCAAAACAAAATAGCGAAAAAGGCAGGAAAAGGCACTAGGTATTGCAAAAAAAACGCAAAATAAGGCACTCGAAAAAGACAGAAAATACGAAACAATAAAAAAAAACATTTATTTTAGAAATGTATATATTACAGGCAAAGAGAGAAAAACTATGAACTAGTTTCATTATATGAAAAATTTGTACTTTGAATCTTTGACTATTTTATGCTTTCGGGTTTCTAACTCATAAAACTTTAATCTGTATATATTAGTCAATGTTATTGTGGCTTGTTAACATTTTGTTTTTAATATTTTTATTGATTGTTTATTAGGAAAAATTGAAAAAGCAACCAAGTCTAAGCGGTAGAAGTTATAGCACTATTTCGGAGATCACCACATCTCCTCATCAGACTTCTTTTTTCTGCTGAAGTCTAGAAAAAAGAAGTCTGATGAGGAGATGTGGTGATCTCCGAAATAGTGCTCCGCTTAGACTTGGTTGCTTTTTTAATCTGTATAGTTGTAGTAACATTGAACCACAGAAAAGCCTTGAATGTACTGAATGTGTGCTTGACGTAAGTTGATACAAGTGGAGCCCAATTTAAATATGGAACGTTTGAAACGTTCATATTATCAGGAATAAGGGAGTTTTCCTCGCCCTTTATAATTTTATCCACACCCCTTATTGTCTCCAAGCCTTCGTTAGCTGAGAAAACGGCTTTGAATTTTTCCAACACCAATTTGGCAAGAGGTCTCTGCGCTTCTATAAGCCGCATGGGCAATGTGTATATTTTTTAATCTTAAAAAAAAAATTTTAAATGCTATAATCACTTTTTTAAAGGTAGAAAAGGCAAAAAAGGCAAATATCTTAAAAAAGGCAAAAAAAAGGCAAATATCTTAAAAAAAGCAACACCAAATGTGTATATATGGAATCAGGGAAAGCTACATCGTGGACATTCTTAATCGAATATACTCTATCTCTTTAGCAGAAAAAAAAGGAAATTTCCATAAAATCCGTTCCCTGGTGATAATCTTATCACACTGCTATTTTGACAAAATTGGTTTTATTCACAACATCCTCAGTGCGACTCATCCGTCGATAGGAGCTGTTCGCCTGCATCTTTCCGTTACCGTCAAGTTCTTGGAGCTCCACCGGGTGGCTGATAAGCTCGTAGAGTGTACATTCTGGAGTTTAGAAGGGTTTCAATTTCATCTCTCATCTTACAGATTACTGCGTTCCAGAAATGGCACCCATTAACTTCGTTTGTACCCAAATTCGCTTAAGAGATGATTGGGTGGGGCGGTGTGTCTTTAAATGAGAGCAGTGAACTTTTTCACAGACGGATCGAAATTCGTGGCAGGGTTGCTGAAGGGGGGGGATCTTCTGTTGAAGGCTCTCCATCAGCAGTATCTGCGATTAAGGAAGCAGTGGACTTGTTGCTACAGAGTGTGACGCCAGTCGGAGTGCTTGTATGGCTGATGTCACGGCAAGGAAATACACCATTTAACATCCTCTGAACATCCGTAGTTGAACAGAACATGCGCAATTGTATGATCCCTCTAGCCTTGGGTGGGTCAGCTTAAGCTTGCAGAACCGGTTGTTGGGGACTCTGATAGGCCATTGGTGGATTGGCATTCATACAGTGAGGCTAGCTGCCAGGAGGATGATGACATGGAATCGGCTCTACACTTTCTATTAGACTGCTCTGCTATCGCGAGGCGAAGTTGTAAATATTTTGGCTCACACTTCGTAACTTCCTGAGGAGCTCTCGGAAATTTAAATTAGCCTATACTCGTAATCGGGAAGTTAGTTTATTCGATAAAGTAATGGCCACTATTCAAACTTTATGGGGTATGACAGAGAACAATAGCGTTAGTGTCCAAGTGCGTCCCATATCTGGGACAATCATTGATACCTAACCTAACCTAACCTGGACCTTGGATGGTATGTACATACATATATCTAAAACACTGTACACGTTCCGAGGGTCGGTCCAAAGATCCCTTCCAAAGAAATATGAATCCCGATAGTAGTACATATGACGGGGACGAAACCGTCTAAACTTTTCGTTCTAATTTAGAGAACTAGACGTTTTTGGTTGGATTTGTACCTGTGTCGTCTCAACTCAAAGCGCCGGCTTGTGTGCTTAATATACATACATACATATTTATGCACTTTGACCTCGCGCAAAATAATTATTTCTTAAATGATTCGCGCCACAGACATTACATGAGCAATAATATTCCAACAAAACCATAATTCGCCGCGGTAGCCCTCAAAGCTGCGCCAACAAAAGGCTTGGCATCAGCTAGTTGTAATCATTTCAAATTTTAATTGCAACAAATACGAGATTAATATGGAAACACACTAACAAAAGCGCTTGAATATACATACTTACACATGCATGTATGTACATCTGTCTATAAATGCACACTAGCGGAAAAATGTGCAAAAAACCGGTCATCAAACTGCATCGTCGATTATTCAATTCACGAAAAGCCAGAAGAAAGCCATAGTAAAAGGAAAAAAATAGATAGCCGCAACTTACATCACTGCAGTCCAAGTACAACATACAAACAAACATACAAGTAAAGCGTACCTACTATTGTAAAAGTTACTAAAAAAATGTGTATGTAATGTATGTACGTATGTGTAGCAAATGCTCCTCTATCGTCACCGCAATATTCCAAACCAAGCTAAAGCAAATAGTTATGGCAAATAATGCCACCTGACGACATGCGACCGATGCAACGCAAGTCCGAAACGTCCAAACACTGTCGCTGCGATACTTGCCAATGGCAAAGTGGCCGGCTCTTGAAGGAAACACAGAAATGCAGAAGAAAATTGGCTACGAGCAAGTTGAGGAAAACAAAAGTTGCAAGCGAAAAGTAGGTAAGGAAGGCGAAATGTTTTGGCTTGGCAATCAGGTGCCATATCGATGTTGTAATCAATAGTAGCGTAAAACTTTGAAATTAATTCATTAAATTTCCTATCAAAACTGC